TATGTTAACGAGACCCAACAAACTGAAACTGAACAGACAGGAACTTAAATACACAGGCAAATGAGGGACTAATGACAAGACACAGGTGAACTAACTCAAGTAATCAAGGGGAAACTAGGTCAACAGAAGTTAGACAGGGGAAACAGAAACAGAAGGAAACACAAAAGTCCATAACTGTGACAGTACTACCCACTCAGGCCAGGCGCGACCTCACGCCATAACGGGACAACAAAGGGTGGGACGGAGAGGGACTTAGGAGGTGGACAAAGATGAGGAGTTGGGATGGTAACAGAGGGCCTCAAAAGGCCGGCAGACGACCAGGGAGGCGACAAAGGAGGGAGGAGCCAGGGAGAAGACAGGAGGGAGCAGGAGCAGGAGGAGCCAGGCGGGACCCAGACCGCAGCCAGGAATGCAGCCCACGGTGGAGCCGATGGAGGGAGGAGCCATGGTGGAGAAAGTGTTGACGACTCCATGGGGCCGACAGACAGCAGCGGAGCAGGTGGGAGAGGAGCCCAGGGCGGAGACGGAGAGCCTCAGAGCCAGGGAGACGCAGAAGATCCGGAGGGCCAAGGTGGAACAGATGGGGGAGCCCAGCGGAGCTGGTGGACTGACGGGCAATGGTGGAGATGAGGGAGCTAGGAGCCATGGTGGATCCGCTGGGTCAACGGGCCGAGGTGGAGTCCGGGACTCAGAGGCTGGAGGTGGAGACAAGGGATCCTTCAGCCACGTCGCTGATGGAGACTGGCAGACCCATGGCGAACCCACATCACAGATGGTGGGCTGAGGGTGAGCTGAGGAACTGGCAGGATATAGCGGCAAAGGGGCAGAAGATGGCAGACTCATGAGAGGAGGTGGGAGAGGGAGGCTGGGTGGGAATTCGGAACGGAGAGAGCTTTTTGGAAAGGCGTATGCCGCCCAGGCGCCCACACACACCAAAGCGCGACTTCCAGCACAGGGAGCGCTAGGGACAGGGGAACGACCTCCATGGTTGTAATAGAGTATACTGATAGTTTTGGGCAGATAAACAGTTCATTACAGACGTCCATGGTCGTGACGGGAGAGACAGACAGTTCATAAACGGCCTCATTGGCCATAACTAGACAGGCAGAGAGTTCAGAAGAAGACGGGAGAAGGAGAGGCATAGTCCAGCAGTAGCTCACCCCCAGCGGTGGTGCAGTGGGCTGGGCTTTCCTACACGCCCTCGCACTCCACTGTGACATCCTCTGTGGCTTTCAAAACTTTCAAAAACAGGAAAACAAAATGCGGGGACACACGCCGCTAAACTTTCAGATGGTCAGGTCTTCTGTCACGGTACTGTGTCGGAGAGAACAGGCACGGAGACAAAGATGGCGTTAAACAGTCTTTAATAATACATATATACATATAAGTAAATCCACATACAGGAAGGCTGGTAACTTCAGCAGATAAAGGCTGTAGCCAGTTCCAATTAAAATCTCCAGTTAGTACTATTTCCTTAAAATTCAACTTGGATAAAGAATAAAAAAGATTCATTTGTTGCTGACGAAGGTCTATAGCAACCCACAACAGTAAGAGCTAAGGTCATTGAAAATACTACATTGACAACCAGAAATTCAAATTTTTAGATGTTGATTTAGTTAGCAACAAAGTTGCTGCATACTTATTTTTTATAAAAATCACTAACCCGTCCCCTCTTTTTGGCCAATCGATTCTAAAAACAATATACCCTTCAATATTAATGGCATTATCTGAAATTGAATCTATCACTGAGCTGATTCAGCTATTGGAAGGCTTTGCAAGCAATTGTCCACATAGAAACAGTTATTCACTGAATGAGCCACTCCAGTTTGTTCATCCTTGACCAGTCTTTGCAGAGCCTAGATGGCAAGTTGTGCCAAAAGGTAAAACTTGTCATTCGTACACGGTATCCCGATTCAAGTCATGCCACACTAAGTGGAGAAGAGGCTTATCATCTGATGGAACATACGAAAAATGTCCCTAATGATGGCAATTTTATGCTCCCTGAAGTGGAGGCCCCAGGAGGGCCAGACTTCACAGATTGTATGGGGGTTACCAGACGAGTGTAATCTGCACCAATTAGAACCAAATGCTGAAGAAATGTCACTGGATGAGAACAGACAAAGCAAGATGTTCAGCAGTGAAAGCATGATGTATGAGGAAGGATTTCTCTGGATTGCATACAGGAGTTATGGTGAAACTTACTGCTGCACCCTCAAGAGTTTTAACATCTTGGCATACAGTTCTCAATGTTAAAAACTCTTGTTTATCCTCCAAGCACAACTATTGAACTGCTGGTTGTTAGATGATTGTCTATTCAGATCCATCATCTAATATGGCATAAGTGTCTAAAGTTCTGTCCCCATTTGTCAGTGTCACTGCTACTACCTTTAACAGAACTCTGATACAGTCACTGGAGTGATCAAGATACAAATTTTGAGTGTACAGTTGATTAACATGGCAAAAAATCTGTAAGTGTTTCCCACTGCAGAGATTGCTAGGGTTTCTCAGGTTGCAATCTGCTGCCAAATGATTACGGGCACACCACCAACATTGCTTTTTCTGCTGAATCCAGTTGATCTGTTTATCTTTAGTGAGCTTTAGAAAGTCATCACATTTACTGATATGATGCTCAGTGGTACTGCAGTAAGCGCAAACAGGAAGGCATTCTGAAGTTAACTGAGGGACCATTCTACCACCTGTAGAAAACTTGACTCCAGCTTTAGGAAGGTCTCCTTTGTGAGAATTTTTAACACCATGAAGAACTATTGTAGCTTTAACTGAATGAAATACCTGCTTTTGTTGATCAGCTGGAAGCAGCTGAATTCCCTTTGGCTGGCAGTGAGACTGAAGCCAACTGGAAAAGTCTAGAAGATTGTAAGACAATGGACCTTGATTGGCTCTTTTCATGGACCTATTAAATTCACAGAACTGCACACTGGGTAGTTTTTCTAAAAGTCTCTTTACACGAGAGCCACAGGTGAGCTCAGAAAGACCATCATGGCCCATGCATTGAAGTAGTCCTACAAGTGCTTGGACATGCAGGGAAAACCGATCCAATGCTTGACCATCTCCAGGACGAAGAACTGGCATATCAAGAATAGCATGAAGCTCTTTCAGCGCAAGCTGTCTTGGCTGTTCATAATGTTCATCGAGAGCTCTGATTGCTTGAGTGTGAAGTTGTGGGGTGTGGAGATAAGCCAACGCAAGTCTCTTAGCTTGATCCACTTTCAAATGGTCCAGCAAAATATGATACTTATATTGTTCAGTCTCATGTGGATCCAGCAGACTAGACAAGGCCATTTTCAGCATCATATACCAGGTTTTATCCTCTCTTGTAAGATAAGGAAAAGATGGACCTTCTCTGAAACTCTCATGATGTCTATAAAATGAAGTGTGAACAGAGGGGATGCAGCAGGAAACACTTGATTTTGATTAAACTGAGAAGCAGATGCATAAGAGATCTGAGAGGGCACTGTTAAAGATTGCAGGCTTGGATATTGAGGAATATTTGATGCAGGTGCATGGGTGACCGGTGGGGGTGCAGGTTAGCAGGTTGAATACTGCTGCGCAAATATGCTGACGAAGCAGGTTGGTAAGGGACTGCAACTGATAAACTCAAAGGTTGAGGCAAAATTGATTAAAGCACAGGAGCTGAAAATGCAGGAACATGAGAGGCTTTAATTGGGCTTGTGGCAAATTAAGACCAGGAGATTAAGTTGAAGGTAGGATCTGATCAGAGAAGTGATGATGTACAGGAGGTGGAGACTTAAGCCAGAAAGGAGCTAGAACCTGATGTGAACTCTGAGCAACACCACTAGGGGGTGGATTAAAAGCAAGCTGTGAAGGTCTAGTAGTTGAATGTTCATAGGGGGAAGACCTTGAAGCATGTAGAGGGCCACCAGCCTTCATACACTGTGGGATTAATCTACTTTGCATCTTGACTTCTGTGATCAACTGCTGAAGGAGTTAAGTTTGACAGTCAGGTTCTGTGACTATTGGAGGGGATAAAGAAGGAGGATGAGTAATTACTTCAAGAAATGGTTCCTCATTCTTGGATTCCTCTTTCTGTGGATGGTACTGTGCACCACAATCCTCAGGAGAAAACTCTTCACCAGTCAATGGTGAATGTGATGAGGCAGGAAGATGCATCACAAAGTCATCACATCGAGCAGGAAGTTAAATCTGGCAACATGATCAGACAACATGAGAAAGAAATGGCAAAGACTGACTGGACATATCCTGCTGATAATCAAAAAAGCTCTGGCTCGAAAGGACCATGTAAAGGATAGGGTTCAGGAAATGTCTGGCTTGAGTACAGCAGGTGTGTCTATAAGAACACAGAGTCCAGTAATACAAGTGTGAACACTAAATTCCATACAATCACTTTATTCATCCATTGAAGCAGGTAGAGCAAAGATAAGCAGGGAGTACAACATGTGAATATGGTTGTGTGTGGTTTCTAAACAATAACAGAAATACAAACACCTGAATCAAAATAAACCATTCTAAGATTACATAGTCAAAGATACACTATATAAAACAAGAAAACAAACTTACATTGCTCATGAATATGCACACACATTACAAACATCCGGCAGCTCCAAAGTCTCCTTGTCTATTGCGCATCAATGCAGGCATTTATAAATCAGGGCTCATTAGTCTATGGCTGCAGTGATTGGCTAAATAACAGAGGGCATATACATTTCATTGAGCAGCTAATTGGGGAGAAACCAGGACTAAGCAAGTGAAGTTGTGGTGTATAAGGAAAGTAAACTAAAAGAATTGTAAATAATGACAAAATAAACTTCAATACAACAACAAAAATGAATCTTTAATAAAAAATGTGTTCTGTTGAAAGTTCACATAGCCTTTGTGTCTTTTTTCATGTTTTATTGGTGAGCTGTCAAGTTCTCATGTGTTGAAATAATCAGTTAATGTCTTATTCTTTTTTCGTCCTTCAAATCAGTATTTTTTGGATTTTTTTTCTCATTTTTTTGTCCCTTATGTTGTCACACTGAAGGCAACCCCTCAGTGTATGGTCAGAATGCATCACCCTATAACACTGATACAAAATAAACCCACTAATCTAAATACACTCATTAAGACCTAAAACATGCTTCAACTTTTACAGAAATCATATTTCACAATAACTGTAAGTTGCCAGAGATTCTCTTACCTCAGCTGTGAGATGTAGGGCAGACACTGAAGAAAACTCTTTATTTCACTATCTTCCTCTGAACATCCTCTCAGATCTACTGGTTTCTTCTCTGTTTGGAGTTTCAGCACTTCCAGGAGGACGGAGCTCTTTCTCTGTGAGAGATCTATGATCCAGACATCAGGTGACTGGAAAACTGACTGTAATGCTGGAAGGAAACTCCTGCCTGTTTAAGTCTCATAGTCCTTCACATGTGAGCAAAGATCCAGCAGAAAATCACTTATTCTTTCATGATTAAAAAAGCTGTAGATGCAGAGTGATGTTAACAGTTTCAGCATCTGCTCTCTTGTCTGTTTCTCAATCTCTGCTGCTTTAATGAAGAGTTTCAGGAGAAATCTGTTTGGAACACTTTCACTCAGATTAGAGATTCTGTAACAAAATGGAAATGAGAAATGTGAATAAATAGAGATGCAACAACTTAGTAGCTGAGATCATTTTCTTAAAGGGATAGTTCAACCAAAAATGAAAATTCTGTCATGAATTACTCACCCTCATGTCGTTCCAAACCCGTAAGACCTTCTTTCATCTTTGGAACACAAATTATTTAATTATCAAATTACGTCAGAATGCCGGCTCCTGCATCAGCAGCACCACACGCATGCGTCGTGGTACTCTTGTGAACGCACATCGAAGACTGACACGGAAGAGAAAATATTGTTGAATAAAGTCTTTTTTTTTTTTATTTGCACACAAAAAGTATTCTCGTAGCTTTATAATATTACGATTGAACCACTGATGTCACATGGACTATTTTGACGATGTCCTTACTGCCTTTCTGGGCCTTGAAGGTGGTAGTTGTGTTGCTGTCTATGCAGGGTCAGAAAGCTCCAGGATTTCATAAAAAATATCTTTATTTGTCTTCCAAAGATGAACGAAGGTCTTACGGGTTTGGAACGACATGAGGATGAATAATTAATGACAGAATTTTCATTTTTGGGTGAACTAACCCTTTAAGTTTTGCAAATATACGCTGTGTGTTAGTAATCAAACTTTTTTCTATAGTTCTCACACAATAGACCCTATTTTCAGAACCTCCTGGTCTACGACGACCTCAAACGAGCCATCCTCCAGCAGGTTGGCCTGAATCCCGAACAACACCGTCAGCGTTTCCGGTCAGTGGAGCTGGGGGAAAAAGGCCGGTCCTTCGTGATGGCTCAGCAGCTCCAGGACGCGTGCCGCAAATGGCTGTTGGCTGGGGGAAGCGACGTCGACCAGATCATCGATCGCGTGCTGCTGGAACAGTTCATCGAGCAGCTACCAGAGAACACCGCGCAGTGGGTCCAGTGCCACCGGCCGGCGTCGCTCGCCCGGGCCGATGAACGAAGGTCTTACGGGTTTGGAACGACATGAGGATGAATAATTAATGACAGAATTTTCATTTTTGGGTGAACTAACCCTTTAAGTTTTGCAAATATACGCTGTGTGTTAGTAATCAAACTTTTTTCTATAGTTCTCACACAATAGACCCTATTTAATATATTAGCCATAAAGTACTCCAAATTATATTTGGCTACTTTCTCTGTTATGCTCAAGTCATTAAGGTCCCAGCAACGATTTTCTTTCAATTAAAATAAAGTATTAAAATAAAACATTATGGTCTACAGTTACATTCAGTGAAGGCCATTTCTATTATTTTGAATACACCAGACACTGGAAGAAAAAAAGGGCAACAACTACATTAACTAAGAAAATGTACTTTTCAGAATGTAAGTGACAAAAAGTAAAAGACACTGTGGTGAGGGGGGCGTGCTTCAGCGAAGTCTGCAGCGGAAGAGAGGGGCGGGAGACGAGCGGTGAGTAAGTAGGTCAAGTGCAAAATGATGAACACCTGTGTCTGATTGCAGTAATTGGCCTGGAGAGACCGGATAAAAGGCAGACTGGAGAACGTGGTGGGGAGAGAGAGACTGGGACTCGTGGCCATCCCTTAGCCGGAGGAGGAGAACCGACTGAACTGAGTTTATGCCCTGGGCAGATTGAGAACGCGCTGGAAGCGCCCCGTTTGTGTTTTGTTGAACTTTAAGTAAAGAAATAAAAGAGCCACGAGTCTCCAAACCGCCTACCTGAGTCACTTCCTTCTTCCCACTACGAACTTTGTTACAGTCTTAGAGTACATCCAAGTTCAAACTTTTTTATTAATGAGGAAATAAAGTACTTCCATTAATCACTGCAAATGGCATAAGTGAATTAGAAATGAAGGTAGAAGAATACTACGAATACTAAATATAAATTCTGAAATGTTATGTGAGAATTAACAACGTGCTTTTCATACAAAGTATGTTTCATATGGGATTCATTTTTTAAGAAACATCAGAGTTACAATTATTACCATAAATAAGGAGAGGCGCTAAAAACAAAACAAAATAAATAAATAAATAAAATATCACAATCACAGACATTCTTATCTGAATGCAGATTTCTATGTAAGAAAAATGCAATAAATAAATAAATATTCGCAAATCACACACATTCCCATCTGGATGGTATAAGATTTCTTAGGGTTTAAACTTTTTTATAAATGAGGAAATTAACTACTTAAGCATTTCCATGAATCATGGCATAATTAATTTAGAATGGTGAAAACAAAGGGGAATTTCACATCTGTTGCCCTCTATTATGAACGCTGGTTTAATGACCTGCAAGTGTGTTGTAAAATAAAATCAGAAATCAAATGTGAGACTTATGAGACACACATATTGACCCATAAAAACGCTATTCAGAAATGGGTCAGTTATATAAGTTTTATATATCTATTAAAATAGGCTTATTTTGTGATAGACGCACAGCTTTGCAAACAAAGATACAGATTTTATTGACCTCTAACGGATATGGACCCTATAGGACATGTACATGTATGCAATGCATTTGAACAGTTATGTAACTCTGTGACTGACACCTGATATTAGAAAACAACATGTGGAAATAATCCAGGCGTACAGACATAAAACATTATGGGAATTAAGTTCAAAGCATTTTTGTTAGTGATATATAAATTTGCCCACACTTGATGACAGTTTGGATGGTACCACGATTATTGAAGGATCAGATTGGATTTGATCACTTACCATGTTCATATAGATATTATATATCAAGGTGGGACCCTTTGTGCAAGACATTTCTTCAGTTAAACTATTTCTGAACTCGTAGATATTTATTCTTGAAATATGACTATGGTAGTATACGGTTGTGGCGAGGGGGGCGTGGTTCAGCGAAGTCTGCAGCGGGAGAGAGGGGCAGGAGAGGAGCGGTGAGTAAGTAGGTCAAGTGCAAAATGATGAACACCTGTGTCTCATTGCAGTAATTAGCCTGGAGAGACCGGATAAAAGGCAGACTGGAGAACGTGGTGGGGAGAGAGAGACTGGGACTCGTGGCCATCCCTTAGCCGGAGGAGGAGAACCGACTGAACTGAGTTTATGCCCTGGGCAGATTGAGAATGCGCTGGAAGCGCCCCGTTTGTGTTTTGTTGAACTTTAAGTAAAGAAATAAAAGAGCCACGAGTCTCCAAACCGCCTACCTGAGTCACTTCCTTCTTCCCACTACGGGGTTTGTTACTTTGTTACACTGGTGCCGAAACCCGGGAAGGAAGTGATAACGCCGCCGCCATCATGTCATCTCCGTCAAGTTCGCCGTTTGCGGAGGTCATCCACTCGCTCGCGGGACTCCATCAAGAGCACCATCAAGCGCTGTTGGACATGAGGGAGGATCAGGAACGGCGGTTCCGGGTCCTCATCCAGACGCAGCAAGAGGACCGCGAGCTGTTCCGGAGCTGGATGGACCGGGAGGTTCGGGCTGGAGGAAGCCCATCTGCCCCGGCCCTGCCAGCCCACATGCCGTTGAACAAGTTGGGCCCGCAGGATGATCCAGGGGCCTTTGTCGACCTCTTCGAGAGGACCGCGGAGGCATGTGGGTGGCCCCGGATGAACTGGCCAGTGTGCCTCATTCCGCTGCTTTCGGGGGAGGCACAAATGGCTGCACAACAGTTGCCAGTTCAGAACCTCCTGGTCTACGACGACCTCAAACGAGCCATCCTCCAGCAGGTTGGCCTGAATCCCGAACAACACCGTCAGCGTTTCCGGTCAGTGGAGCTGGGGGAAAAAGGCCGGTCCTTCGTGATGGCTCAGCAGCTCCAGGACGCGTGCCGCAAATGGCTGTTGGCTGGGGGAAGCGACGTCGACCAGATCATCGATCGTGTGGTGCTGGAACTGTTCATCACGCGGCTACCGAAGAACACCCCGCAGTGGGTCTAGTGCCACCGGCCGGCGTCGCTAGACCTGGCCATTCAACTGGCGGAGGACCAGATGGTGGCGTGCCATGGGGTTGGCGAAACCCTGCCTTCTGTCTCTCTCTCTCCCCCCTCTACCTCTAAGCCTGTCCCTCTCCCTAGGTCCCGAGTGAATCTCTCAGCTCAAGCGCAGCCCAGATGGCGGGGTGGTCCGGCGCCGGAGTCCGCCGGACTGAGGAACCTCTCCAGGGGGGCGAGGCCGGCCAGCTCGAGCGCCTCGTATGGTCACGTTTCTCCGCTCTCTCCAGGCCAATTGCTTGATCCGCTTCCTGCCACTAGGGCGGCGGGGAAGTCTGGGCCAGCCTGTTGGCGTTGCGGGGACCCCGGACATTTCATTGACCGGTGCCCGGTGATGGAGGTCGGGGCACTGATCCGGGTCCCGGACGACCCACAGGCTGCCCCCGATCAAGCTGGCCTGTACCAAATACCTGTGAGTATTAAGGGGGGTACTTATTGGGCTCTGGTGGATTCAGGATGTAACCAGACCTCGATCCATCAAAGCCTAATTCAGCCGGAGGCATTGGATAAGAGCTGCGTGGTTCGGGTGCGGTGCGTCCACGGGGACGTGGTGAGGTATCCTTTAATGCTCCTAGCTATCCAATTTCGGGGTCAGAAGCATAAAGTGGAGGTTGCAGTTAACCCGAACCTCAGGCATCCGCTAATTTTGGGGACCAATTGGCCAGCTTTTAGTCATTTATTGGGGTATTTGTGTGCGGATGTCTCTTGGGGAAAAGAGAAGCGGGGAGGGGAGGCGGCCGAGGCGGCCGGAGAGGCGGAACCGTGACTGACTGATTCTGCACCAGAGGAACCGAGCGCTACCGAGAGGCCCGAGAGGCCGGAGCGTGATGATTTTCCCCTGGAGCAGTCTCGCGATGAGACGCTGAAAAATGCGTTTGAACAAGTCTGCTCCATCGACGGGCAGCCTCTCCAGCCGGCACGGCCCCCTTCTTATCCCTATTTTGCTATTTTAAAAGATAGGTTGTATCGAGTGACCCAAGACGCTCAGACAAAACAAGATACAACTCAGTTGTTAGTTCCTAAAAGCCGTCGGGAAATGCTTTTCCAGGCGGCTCATTGTAATCCTATGGCA